TAGATCTAGGCCTAAATAATTTTCTAGATCTAGTTCTAGGGCTCTAAAAAAAAAGTCTAACTCTAAGGCAGTCTAAGGCTAGGGAGGGCCTAAGCCTGCTAATCACAGTAATCAGAACAGAATCTAGATCTAGATCTAGGATTCTTGTAGAGACTAAGTAAGTAAAGTAGATCTAGATCTAGAAACTAGTTTGTTGGTGTTGGTATAATACTAGATTAGATAGTATACTAAATACTAGATAGATCTATAAAATAATCTATATATTATATAGGCCTAATTTAATTTTATTTAATTAAGGCCTAATGCCTACCTAATACTAATAGTATAGTATAATACAATATATATAGGTAGGCCTATAATTTTAATTTTTGGTAATGGTAATCTATCGTTTTCAAGTTTTAGTCGTACGTAAAATCGGCAGAGACTAGTATTAGTAATGTGAGAAAAAGGTGACTCATTAAATTTTAGTAATTATTTTACATTTTTAGTAGGATTTATGCTTTGAAAGTTACAAAAAGGTTCTAAACTTTCATTAACATTAATGTACCTGTTTTTAAACAATTGTATTAACTAAAACTTCAGTAAAAAATAAAGACTAGCGACAGAGGCGGAGCGAGGGGTGCAAACCGCACCTGGTGACACCATTTAGGGGGGGTAACACTAAGGCAAAAAATAGAAAAATATACAGAGAAAATTTAAGGGGAGGGGTGCAAATTGAAGTTTGGGGGGGAGTACAAATGGAAAGTTTGAGGAGGGGGGGTGCGAATCGAAAATTGAAAGTTTGTCTCCGAGGGGGGGTGACACCATTAAGTGCCGCACCAGGGGTGATACCCGACCTCGCTACGGCACTGACTAGCGATGTTTTCATTAGATGAAACCAAGCTCATTTACTTTAGCAGCCATCTTGTATACGTTTTTTTGTGGTAAAATTATAGTTAGAGATTCAGGGGAAACAACTCTAACTTACAGATGGCCGCTTTTTATATAGCAAATCATGCTCACAAACATTGCTGTTTAAAGTAAAGTTAATTTCTTGCCTATATTGATATATTTAGCCATTGATTTTGGTTTATTATTCAGTTATCTATAGTATCTGACACAAATATATAGTATATAGCACAAAATACTTTTATTAAAGCCTTAACAATGAGGCAACTTTTTCGCACATTACTAGCCTCGGCCGATTTTAACACCTAAAATGATAGATTACCTATTTTTTTAGGCAATAATAGGCCTATTATTCATACCTAATGCCAATAGGTATGATTAGATCTACTAACTAATACAATACTAGCCATCCTTTAGTAGTATTTTGGCCTATTATTATTATTTACGAGCCGGCCCGCGGCATAACATACGCCGCTATTTAGTTGTTTCTAATTTTCAATAATTCATAATTTGTGAATTCGACAGTACCAACGCTGACACTGAAAATATTTCTTTAAAACACTATAAGTAGCTCGTTAAGGACCATAACCCCCCCCCCCTTTCCTTCCCTCCCCCCCTCCTCCCCCCCCCCCCCCCCCTACGTTTAAAATCGTTGGCTCTGCTTGTAAACATTTAGAGTGAACACAGCTCACTAAAACCATGTAGGGGTGGGGAGGTAGGGAGAGCGTTTGCAGCTTGTTTTCTAACGGCTCAAAGAAGAGAATTATATATATAGATTATTAATATTAGGCTTATCCTATAATTTATAGAGTAGTAATAGGCCTAATAATAATAATATTATTAGGCCTATAAAAATAAGATAAATTAATAAATAATAGGCCTAAATAGTAGCCTAACCTAATATTAATATCCTAATAAATATGGGCCTACTTAAGTAACAAGTCAAAACTAAGGCAGATTCTAACCAGAAAAAGATTCACATGCGAAATGGAGAGCAACTACCTGCTCCACTCGCTGTGACGTTTTTGATGGTCTGTGCATGCGTGTGTTTACAAACAACCCCAGAACCGTAACCCTAACCCTAGTGCAGCTATTAAAAGGTCACCGCCCATGCGCAGAACTATTGTTTCTTATTTTCTGCCGTAACATCTTTTTCCGAGTAGTCGCTTTGAAAAATTTAACTGTTAATAATAAATAAATACTGTGAATAGCCACCTAGACTAGATCTAGGTTCTAGAATCTAGTCTAGCTACTACTAGAGAATATTGTAGACTAGGTATAGATCTAGCTTGAAAGATTGTCTAGACTCAGAAACCTAGCTAGAATGAAGACTAGTGAAAAGTCACTTTTTCACTTAAATATCTAGATCTAGATCTCTAGTCACAGTTAGCGACAGTAGATTTGAGTAGATTAATAGATGGAGTAATTAATGCTATAACTGTACCAGATCTAGTCGAGTCAGAGTAATGGCCTAATGGATAAGCGCAGAAAAAAAAATCACCAAAAGCTTGATTTTTGTGTAATACTGTATTTCTTTAATAATCTTGCTTTTTGGATTTGTTGTCCATTTTTGTATTAAGATTTATCAAGAAAATAATAACTTAAATGAGAAAATACATTTAAATATCTTTAAATTACAATTCTTGTTAATTAAAAATAATCATTTTTTCCCAATCTTACACGTACATGTTCTCTTCAAAGGGTGTTGGGAAATTGTGAGACCTGAAATAGCCAGGCAGTAAACTGCGAGAAGGACATGAAAACAGTCAGGCATGTGGCATTTTTGTCTCGCATATTACCACCACCTGATACTTTTTCTCGGGGGTGGTAAAATGCAAAGATAACTGCCAAAATTTACAGCACCCGATGTACAGTGATATTTGATGCAGACTTCAAAGACATTTTGTTTATATTGTTACAAAAACTTCAGATTTTTCCTTCGCTAGATGTACTGTTGATTTGTCAACTCACCCATCTTATGTGTTGACTTAGAATACCACCGTTCTCAAAACAGCTGCCGCTGCAAATATATTTTGTATTTTTGCAAAGAAATTTTGTATTATTATCGCCACCTATGATGTAAAAGTGTAGATCTGTTTACTATTTACTATTTATTTTCTCTTCTAATATTCCCTTAAACTAATTTAATTTTAGATTGTTTGTACATCAAGGTTGTGACTTTTCCAAATTTTTTCATTGATCGAACTAGATCTTAGTCAGAAAAAATAATCTCAAATTAAATATGAAATTACTGCTCACAATGACAGTGAGGACTAGATTAACCCTCCCCTATTGTTGTTTATTCCTAAGCTTATATGAACTCACAATACCCCAAGTTTTTTTATCTTACTTGCTGTTTGGGGAAAAAATTAAATTGACGTCAACAACAGTATCAGTTCTTTATCCTATTAGATATATATATATATATATATATATATATATATATATATATATATATATATATATATATATATATATATGATTATATAATTATATTAGACAAATTAATATCAGTAACTTAGTTATCAGAAGGTATTAGCCTTACATGAATACATGTGGCAAAATATTTCTCCCGCTAAATAAAATAGACTGAGACAGGATTTTTCTCTAGCTAACAAAAACGAGAGCGGGCAATCACAGTAGCACAATATATATATTGAAAACTATATAAAAAAGAACAACATACAGCACTCGTAGTATAGGCTATGTCCTCCTTTAGTTTAAAATAAAAATTTAATTAAAAAAAATAAGCATAAAACAAAACTTCTTTTTGCAAATTGTCTTGCTATTTTTCTGCAATTCCGCAGGTATGTTTTGCTGTTTCTCATCTTGCATTTTCCTAACAACCCTCTACAATATGTTCAATATCCATCATCTTATTGTATTTGGCATAATCTGAAAGCTGGATGTCTCATGTATATGATAATCAGATGTTCCTCCATTTTGGAAACACCCAAAGCTTACAATTAGCTTTATAAATTACTCAAAAACAGTATTTATGTGACCTACTTTTTGTCACATTTTGCTGTTTTTTTTTTCATTTTGCAAGTTTTTAGCACTTAAAAGCCTACCTTTTTATATAAGTAATAAATTCCCACCATATTTTCAGTATTTGTTCTTCATGTAATAATAAACTATCTGTCATAATAGAACTGTAATGGCTTGCACAAAAAAAAATTCTATTAATACATCTATATATATAATTCTTTTCGTTGGAGGGACCATGCGGGACACAACATAAGCACGCCGAACCACCCCCTCCCTTGCTCACCATTCTGGTGAGCTGTGTGTTGTTCATGCCAAATGTTTACAATCGTAGCACCGGATTGAATTAGTGAATGCTATTAGGGGCAGATAATTTAGTTTTTAAACGATTTGAAACTAAGGAAGGTAATAACTAGCTCGGCTTGATCTTTTCAATGGCGTCTGTAAACTGTCGTAACGTACTGCTGCTTTCACTGGGGGTGGGTGGGGGAGGGATGATGGATAGATAGTGAGGGTGAGGATAATCGTCCTTCACGAGTTATTGATAGTGTTTTAAAGCAAATATTTTCGTTCGCACCATTGGTAGTGTAAAATTCACGAATTATGAATTACTGAAAAGTAGAAAATAAAACAACTAAATAGTGGCATATGCTACGTCACAGGTTGGCTCATATGCAATACTTTTGCAAACTAAAACGAGTGCAATTATTTGGAGCTTGTAGAATTCTGACCATTAGCTCTATCAAAACGTTCTTGGACAAAAGTTTTAATATATACCGAAACTAAAGTGTAAATTTGATTGCTATAAATGCATAAATAGAAAAGCCTTAGTGTTTTTAAAAGGAAAAAGAATTAAAAACAGCGGAGATTTTTTTAGGGTTTTCAAATTGTTTTCAAACCCCTTTTTTTGCTGTTTAATAGTTACTTTAATGTGCCAAACATGGTAAAAGTAGTCTAAAGGATTTAGATCTTAAATTGTAAAAATTAGAAATAAAAAGGTGAATATCCCCTTAATTTATAATTATAATAATTAATACACTTAACAGTGATACTTAGAGACTAGAATGACTAGATCTATAAGAGTATTGACTATTAAGAGCTGGATCTAAATAATCTTGCTAGATCTATCTAGATTCTAGTCGCTAGAGTAGTTTACTGTATTCTAGATTCTAGACTAGATCAGCAGATCTAGATTTATTATTATAATGGGAGATGCCTGAAAGAAACTGTTGGTCAGTGTTACTCAGTTACAAAAAGAATGATGTATCCCATGGTAGTATATATACCAGTTATACAAAAATAGTGTTGAAAAAAATGATTAGCCGAATTTTCTATGCAACATTTTTGCTTAGCTAATTGAATATCTATGTTAGTAATAGAATGTAGCCTATATAACTTGTAATCCTTGACATTATAATTTTACAGGTTGCTGAACTAATTGAGGACTAAACGGCCAATCAGGATACAGTAGTCAAAATGAAAGAAATTTGTCATTCCAATCCAGTATTAGTTGGAGTTTTATTACTTATTTGTAGCTGTCCTGTACTAGGAAAAACATGTTCAGAGGGACAATATTTGTCAAAAGGTATCTGTAAACCATGCCCAGATAAGCAGTACATGAGTGATAAAAATCACACTAATGAAGCCTGCATTCCATGCACAATTTATGATGCCACATATAATGTCCAGCACTACGAGGGATGTTCTAGTGTATCCAACAATCACATAACAAAGTGTGTTGAAAACTTCTATATTAAAGATGGTGAGTGCATCTTCTGCCCATTTTGCAGTTCAGACAACCCTCCACCAGAATGTTGTCAGGAACAGACAAGTGCAGCAGTACCTGTTCCAGAGACATCCACACCTGTTGACTTCAATGTTACAGGGCCGGGTACGACAACAATGTCATCAACAGGTGTCTCAACTGCTAACCCATCCCACGGGTTTAACAAAACTGACAGCACAGAGACTGATAGTGATTCAGCATTTCCCAGTATTATTGCCTGTGTTGTTGTGTTTGTGGTCATTTTAATTCCTGTACTTGTAGGTGGCATCTATTGTTACAAAAAGAAATGTTCAAAGCCTACACCTAACACTAATAAAGGAGCATTAATTAAACACGAAGTGAGCAATGATTTAGTTCAGGACGCAAGTAGTTCCTGTTCAGTTCAACTTTTAAAACCTGAGTGTTAGCAGCCATGGCATAGTGACTGTGTTTCTAGAGTTTATCTGCTGAGGTGTATTGGATTAAAACATTTGTCATGATGCAAATAAAATAAAAAATTATACAGCTCATTCCGACATGTAGAATGTTTACTGTCCATCTTTCTGAGAAGTCAAATCAACATAACAACACCAGCATCTTTACAGAAAGTGATTATACTAACAGTGACTACATGTTCAGATTGAGGAAAGCTCTAGTAAAACTTCCAGTGTACAAAGGTTTTTTAGCTCAACTGCTCATTGTTAGATCGAAAGTTTTCGCGGTCGCCGTGGTCAGGCACGGTTGCTAAACCGATAAGTTCCTAGTTTAAACACCCAGGCAGCTGAGACTCAATAGCTGGGGACAACAATCTATCTTGAGAAAAATACTCCAAAATCAGTAGTAGTTTTATCTTGGATGGACAGTCTATGGAACTAATTCCAGAAAGAAAAACAGGCTGAAATTTGAGTCAACTGGGCGTATAGTACATAACATGTTAATATATAATACTTGTGTTGTAGGAAATACCATCCAACATTACAGTTAAGAATGAAGAAGAAAGTTTTTAAAGAATCTATCATAAAAAATCCACATTTGTGCATAATGACACATGTTATCAGGGATTGCCACTCGAAAATTGTCATGACCAGCCACAACAGAGCCTGGACAAAAATCCCTGGACTCTAATCCATTGGCTCCCGAGGCAAACGTGACAATACAAAAAACCACATGCACAATATGAATGAAATCCTTGCTCATTCTTTCCATCTACTCAAATTAGTTGGTTTCTTATACCCTCCTGCCAGCAAAAAATTATCTAAAGCAAGATTAATGATCAAGGTCAATAGAAACTCGATTGATGTCATGAAAAGAAATGGAAGTCATTTTCAGTTTTTTGTTTTCTTTAGGAGATCAAGTACATGTATATGATGATGACTTAACCTTGCTCTAGATGGACAAGTCCAACAAGCTCTCAGCAACAAAGCCTTCTCTTTTCCACTTTATGTTTATTTATTTCTGTTCAGAAACATGTTCTTATTGTATCTAATATCAATTACTTCTGCCTTTTTTAATTATGTGTAAATGATCTTATGGATGTAACATATGTAAAGAGTTAATGTACTTTTAGTTTGATGGTCCTGATGGCAAACAGTGTAGTAGACTTATCTATTTCTGTGATTTGATTTATAAAATGATTATGTGGATGGTGAATTGTAGAAACTTTATTTACCCTAATATGCCCTTCCTATTCAAGCGGTAAATAAAATTTGAGATTACTGAGACTAAAATATGTTGCCTGAGCCTATTTCTATACATGTAATTATTTTTCTACAGCCCTTTATATAAATTGTTTAAATAATAAAATATAAATAATAAATCTTTATGAGTAAATATATAATATATACCTTTGATAATTATTGTCA